ACATACATACATACATACATACATACATACATACATACATACATACATACATACATACATACATACATACATACATACAGACATACATACATACATACATACATACATACATACATACATACATACATACATACATACATACATACATACATACATACGTACATACATACATACATACATACATACATACATACATACATACATACATACATACATACATACATACATACATACATACATACATACATACATACATACATACATACATACATGAATGAATGAAAGAATGGCACGCATGATCAGTGAATCGCCTGATTGATCGACTATGCCTACTCTCCGACTGAATGCATGAGAGAGCAAGGAGCATGGCAGTTGGGAGGAGTTGGGCTCCGAGTGGCTGAGAGCGGTCCAGAGCACGGCCTGTGGTACTAAAATGGATGATGCCGCCGTTCGTGCGAGTTTGGGATTGAGATTGGGGTTGTCCGTGGTCACGGAGTATGATTGCAAGTGGGGTGCAAGGGTGGAACCGCTGGGTTACCATGGAATATCTTGTAGGTTGGGATCAGGAAGGCAAGCCCGACATTCTGCAATGAATGATTTTTTAGTCAGAGTTTTTTAAAGAGCTGCTATTCCGGTAATAAAGGAGCAAGCCGGACTGCTCGAGGATGGTAACTGCAGACCTGACGAATACACAGTGGTTCCCTGGAACCGCCGCGATAAAAACGTCTGACAAAAAAAAATAATAAAATATGCCACTTTAAATAATAGCACCAAAATGTTTACACCAGTTTGCATTGAAACATTTGGTCCACTGATGGGAAGACACAAACATTTATCAATCAGTTAATAGCAAAAGTTGTAAAGATTTCCGGCAATCCGGAAGATAAACGTTACATAAAACAATACATTTCAATATTATTACAAGGATTTAATGCATTTTGTATTATGGAGGGAGCAACGAGGTACCTTTCTGTGCAGGAACCCCGAACATAAATAAACACTGGAACCTGAAATGTTTGTGTCTGTGTATATATGTATGTATGTGTGTGTGTGTGTGTGTTTGTTTGTGTGTATATCTAGGTATGTATGTATGTATGTATGTTTGTATGTGTGTGTGTATGGAAATAAACACGCATGTGTACAAGTAGTTTAACATCTGTTAGCATTACATTTCATGCCTTGTTTACTGGTTCTGATAAGAAGTACGTACCTATGTGAGTACGTGTGTGTGTGTACGTGTGTGTGTCTGTTTGTACGTGTACGTGTGTGTGTCTGTGTGTACGTGTACGTGTGTGTGTCTGTGTGTACGTGTACGTGTGTGTGTCTGTGTGTACGTGTACGTGTGTGTGTCTGTGTGTATATACGAACACATTCCTCTTGTCATGCCACTGTCACTTATCCAGTTTATTTGCTTAAATATTTTCTGTGAGAAAAACAAAAAACTCGCTATTGTATATATATACATATAATAAAGCATATATATATATATATATATATATATATATATATATATATATATATATATATATATATATATATATGTTTTCACAATATTCTATAAATTCTACCGAATTTTGGCGTTAATATATTTGTAGTTCGTTTTTTCAATTTTTCTCACTAGTTAACGCCAAGCATTCGGTAGAATTTATAGAATATTGTAAAAATTATGGTCTATTATCAACATATATATATGTGTGTGTGTATGTGTGTGTGTGTGCGCGCGCGCGTGTGTATAACATAGTTTGTTGACACGTAAATAATATAAATAAGTTAATGTAAGCTAATGAATTCTCCTAATAAGGTATCACCACAATAATAATAATAATAATAACAATAATATAATAATAATATAATAATTATATAATAATAATAATAATAATGATGATGGTGACAATACGATATTTAAACTTATTCGATTGAATAATGTAGTGTAACAAAATGTGTAACAAAATTTAAAAAAATAAACAAAATAATAATAATATTATTATTATTAATATTAATAATGAGGATAATGATAATGATAACCTTTTAATCTTCCAAACAAAAATTCGAAAATTTTGAAAAATTATTTAGCATAAAGAAATGTCTTGAAGTCGCTAAGCAAAGCATTCAAATACAACCTTGCAATGTATTATCTCCCGCCAATACCAAAGTATATATATATATATGTGTGTGTGTGTGTGTGTGTGTGTGTGTGTGTGTGTGTGTGTGTGTGTGTGTGTAACCAACATATAACATACATATATATGATATATATATAATCTATATTCGACCTAATTAGCTTTCTAATGTATTTCATATACCTGGAGATGTATATTTACGTCTGTATGTATGTTTGTTTGTATGTATGTATGTATGTATGTATGTATGTATGTATGTATGTATGTATGTATGTATGTATGAATGAATGCATGCATGTATGTATACATATCGTGTGTACATTAGAAGATGATGGTTTTCTACATTCATACCTACATAATGTACAAACACATAATGAACACACACGCAAACACACACATACATACACACATACATACACACACATACACACACATACATACAGATGGGTTGTGGAGATAAATAATGTTGTGCACGATTTGGCGTTGAAAAGTTTTCATCATCGTCGTTATCATCATCGCCAACTTCATCATCATCATCATCATCATGTTACATATTCTATTTATTGCATCAACACACACCTACCTTAACTCTCACTGTTATCTCTCCATCTCTCTCTCTCTCCATCTCTCTCTCTCTTTCTTTTACTAATCTTTGCTGTTTAATTTTATCGATGATAACTTGCATAATTAATATCACATATCTCTCTCTCTCTCTATTTCTATCTTTTTCTCTCGCCGTCTTTTACTTCTCCTCTTCCTTTTTTCTCTCACTCTCTTTTTCACCCTCTCTTTCCTGTTTTCTCACTCTCTCTCTCCTCGATGGTTTCTTTGTTTGAACATCCCTGCAAGAGAACGAACAGTGGAATAAAGGGAGCTAAAAATAAATGAAGCCACGCTTTGCACGCTGTGTGTATGTTTGTATGTATGTATTTATGTATGTTTGTATGTATGTTTGTATGTATGTATGTATGTATGTATGTATGTATGTATGTATGTATGTTTGTATGTATGTTTGTTTGTTTATACGTTTGTATGTATGTATGTATGTTTGTATGTATGTATGTT